ATATAATTGAAAAACTAATTTATACTATAAATTAAAAAAAATTAACTAATATAAAAATAATTTAAAAATATAAAAAAATTTATAAAGATAAATTATTAAAAATAATAAATTAAAATAAAAATAAAACAAGTAATTACAATAAATTAAAAAAAATATTCAACTGTTCCGGTACCATGAGTACCGTAGAGTTTTCCATATAAGTATTATTCACTTAATTGTAACATGTGCGTCGCTTGTGAATTCAAGCATTTTCCCACAACTGTACGAAGATGCCAATAATTCAAGAGGAAGTCTGTCTCTGATGCTGCTATTTAGTTAATTGTCTAAATTAAGTCATATTTTTTTAAAATATTATTCACATTTTTTATTGTATTATTCTTACACTTTTTATTTTTTTAGAAAATAAAATAAGATAACATACACATATTTTGTAAAAGAGATATGAAAGAAAAAGAAGGGGGAAAAAACGGTGCACTAATCATTTTAGTGTTGTTTTCATGTGAAGGAATTGATTACAGAAAGACTGGGAGATGTTTTAAAAGGGATAATCCAAGTAGCTTCACAGTTACTCCCCCCAAAAGTGATAAATCTAAGAAGCGAGTGGATACTATTAAATGACGAACTTTTCTTTTTAGCACATGTTAACGGATAGGTGATGTAAATGATAGTACATGCTTGATTCCCGTAAAGTTTACGTATCAAATTCGAGAGTTTTGTATTAAAAAATCACTAAAAAATATAATTTAATCATGCTGTTAATATTATCATCTTGAATAAAATATCTCTTATAAAAATATATTTCTTCAAAAGAAAATATATACAAAAAATTAGAATTTGAAAGAAACTATTATTCAATGTAGGATAGATTCAAACACAACATGAACGGATAATTACAACAAAATAAGAAAATAAGACACATAGACACGACATATATAATATATAATATATAATACAAATGATATGAAAAAAATATATATTAATGTGACAATAACTTATTAAGTCTCAAAAATAAATTATTAAAAAATATTATATTCCACAATAAAAAAAGTTTCTTTTTTTTTAAATTTGGAATCCTCCTTTCATTATTTTATTTTTATTAAAATTATTTTGAAGGTTAAGCAAGGATAAATGAGAATGATTCTCTTCCTTATTTTTATTTTTATTAAGATTTTTTTCTTTTCTAAAAAAATCTCAAATCCTCCCTTTTTTATTTTTATTTTTATCGAGATTTTTTCTTTTTTAAATAAAATCTTAAATTTCCATATTTTGTTTATATTTTTATTGGAATTTATTCTTTTTTTATATAAAAAAAAGACTCAAATCTCTCTCTTTTATTTTTATTTTTATCGATATTTGTTCTTTTTTAAAAATAAATCTCCACATTAAAATAAGGATATATTCATTTACAAGTATCCACAATGAAAACACGTTAATTTTATAAATATCTGTAATAAAAACATGTCCAATTTACATGAAAACAATCCCCCAAAATATCTAAGGCGCATCCACAACATATCCACAAAGTGTCGTAGTGAAAGACACAATAGTTCCATGTTAATTCTATACAACATAACTACTATTCCTGTGGTTTATTATGAATTCTCACTAAAGAGTATAGTTAAGGGTTAAGTATTAAATATTTTATAGAAACTTAGGAGTAAATGTCCCAATCATGTTGGTCACATGGTGTCTTTGCAGTTCTTTTCATAAATGATATGGAATTAAGTTGTCGTGGTTGCACTTTGTGCTTTTGGATCAGCTCATGAATAGATACTTCTGGAATAAGCCCAGAAGTTTATGATGGTGGGTCATATTGTGCACTTATTCGTCATCTGTATAGTATAAATTAAGGATAGGACCATCTCAGCAAATGCAAGTCCACTCACTTTGTTAATTTTTAATCATTGTAAACTTTTTGGCATACGTTTATGCACGTGATTATGTTAATTTAATACACGTGGCTTCCTATTATTGCTTCCTATTAGTATTTATTTGATAGTTTTAGCACAATCCTTCTCAAATTGACGATTTCAGATTCGAATCTCCCAATATTCAAAAGTAATTCAATTAGGATCACTGTACAAGAAAAAACCAGGATTATTTATGGAAAAAATCTTTAAATAAACATGAAAATCCATAATTATATGTCAATTATCTATAGATTATCTATAAAAAAATCGTAAATAATAAGGTCGTAAATAATGTTATTTATGGAAAATTTTTCGTAGGTAACGTTATTTATAGAATTTTTCGTAAATAACCCACGAAAGTTATTATCTATGAATTTTTTCCGTAGATAACTTTTGGAAAATTTTTGTTTAATTTTAATAAATGTATTAATGTAACAATCCTTATATTTGGCATTTCAAAAATAATATTTCATGACACTTCACTTTTTAACATGTTTTGTCTTTAATGCACATTTTCTATGAAACTTTGGAGTTCTAATGAGATAAGCTACCGAAAAGCAAATACATGTATAAGTAGTACAAATTAATTCATTTAAGTCATTCTCAACTATACAATCTCAAACTTATACTATTTTTGGATCCCTCTCATTTTGGTATGTCTAGGCCGCTATAAAAATATAAAAATATATATAATAATTATATTACCAATAATAATAATTATATTATATTTAATTAATCTTTATTCATATATATACATATACTTACTTGTATAATTAACAATCTACTTATTTTTATTTAAAATTAATATTATGATACAATTTAAATTATTTATTATAAATTTAAAAGTTTAAATAATAATTTATATATTTTAAAATGATAAGGGTTATAATAACATCGGTGTAACTTTTACTAAGTATTACACCGCTCAATAACTTTATATTAAATGTGAATTTTGTAAATCCAACCGTTAGATTGAAAGTTCATATCACTTTATATGTTTATATCAAATTTTGTTAAAATTGAACAACAACTTGAAGGTAATCAAAGTGTTCATATTTTAGTATATTTTGAAATGTATATATTACGTCAATTTTGTTTTACAAGAATGAAGTATCAAATCATCTTGAATTAATATAAAATTTTGTATATATGAGCTAAAAGTAAAAAACTTTCAATCTAACGGTTGAATTTATAAAATTCACATTTAATATAAAGTTATTGAGCGGTGTAATACTTAGTAAAAGTTACACCGGTGTTATTATAACCCTTCTCTTTTAAAATATTATTTTTATAAATTAAATTTTAACATTTTAAATAAATTATTATTTAACTTAATATATTTATTCATCTTAAATCTAAGATATAAAATTCAAAAAATGTATTTATTTTTGTTTTATTTTCTAATTATCAACCATTAATAAAATACTAATTTAAAATCTTATTTAATTATATCATAATATTTTCATATCAAATTTAACGTTACCTACGAAATTTTTCGTAGATAACGTTACCTTCTCTTTTAAAATATTATTTTTATAAATTAAATTTTAACATTTTAAATAAAGTATTAATTAACTTAATATATTTATTCATCTTAAATCTAAGATATAAAATTCAAAAAATGTATTTATTCTTGTTTTATTTTCTAATTATCAACCATTAATAAAATACTAATTTAAAATCTTATCTAATTATATCATAATATTTTCAATCAAATTTAACGTTACCTACGAAATTTTGCGTAGGTAACATTATCTACGGAATTTTCCGTAAGTAATATTCCGTAGATAACTAAAAATTATTTACAAAAAAAAAATTCCTAAGTAATATTCTGTAGATAACTAAAAATTATCTACAAAAAAATTTTGTAGGTAATATTCCATAGATAACTAAAAATTACCTACAGAAAAAATTTCGTAAGTAATATTCTATAGATAACTAAATATTATCTATGAAAAAAATTTCGTAAGTAATATTCCATAGATAATAACAGTTTTTCTTGTAGTAGTCACTTTTATTAGAATTATATCGACCACTATTAAGTAATTATTACAATTATTAAGAAAAAAATAAGAACAATTTTTTTATATATATATAAAACATAAGTGTTTTTCATTCTATTCAAATTAAGTAAAATTTCTATGAGTGGTTAAATTCTTTATCTGATTATTTAATACAGTAGAATATCATAATTCAAGCTCAAAACTATTAATTAAATTGAAACAATTTTATACTGATTGATATATGAGTATTACAAACAATATGCTAATATTCTAATTAATTAAAATCACAGTATATTCTAAATTAATAATAAATATATAAAGCAAGGCAAACTAACTTTATAGTCCTGTCATTTTTATATAATTATGAGGAATAACTCTTAATTGATCAATTTTAAGAATAAAATAATGCTTTTAGTTGTGACCCCACTCAAAGTAAAAATTGAATCTCAATACTTAGTTAAGAAGCATACGTGTCATATTACTTGTTTTAACAACTTCTGATTATAGTCTTATCCTGAATCATATATTATCACTAATTCATATAATATATATATATATTAGCTTGCACTAACTATGATTGATGCTACTAATATCAAAATCAAAATAAAAACTATATATTAATATTGCCTTCATCGACACTAAATAGTAATTATTGAAAATTAAATATAATAATTAAATATATTATACTATTATAGTTGGTTAGGTTGATGCTAAGTGTTAGTATTAGCATAGACATGGTCATTAATATTTCATCATCTGAGTGCAAAAATGAAATGTTCTTCTCAGTTCTTTCTTATCCTTAAATATATTTCTTATGTATTTTCTTCTTCTCCCTTCAGTTTCTTCCCCTTACAATCTTTATCCTTCTGTTGAGACCACTCGAAGTGATGAGACTCGAAAACGGTTTGACTAAAGGCATTGCCTCAAGACTACCATACATGGAAGAATTATAACTAGTCCTAGAGGGGGGTACTCGAGATAAGGTCGAATTGAGATTCGAGAGCATTCAAGCTGGAAACAAGACTTCACATGGAAACATTCAAGATAGGGTCGAACATAACGCACTTCGGAAAAGTCGAACAAGGAAATGGCTAAGCCAGAAGCAGTTATCAAAATCAAAGGAGAGAATAAGAACACGTGGGAAAAGCGGTTTAAAGAAGTTATTATTCTGAACCACGTAGCAAATGTAGTGGGTAGCAGTTATGGGTTAAGAGCATACGTGTACGGAATTAACCACTCATTATGTCTCTATAAATAGAAAGATCACGGACCTCTTCAGGGTCGGAAAAACTCATACTTGAATTAACTTCTGAAGCACTCTCTGCCTACACACACAGATGGCTTTCGTGCACAAGATCGTTTTTGGGTATGACTGACTCTCGGCCACTTTTCTTTTGCTTTTTAGGAGTAGAATTAGCATAGTTCTCTTAGTTATTTCTTTTAATCACGTAGTTATATTACTTTGATATTGTAACTCTGGAACATGATGCAAGTTGAACCATGATTTGTATTGCAAGTATCTTAATTATTCATTCTGTTCATCTTAGTATTTATATGTATGAAAATTATTGCTTGTTAATTATGGAAGAATCTTTGGAAACAAGTAATTACTAAAGTTGTTCACTCCTTTTCCTGTTCTTAAATCAAAAATCCTAAATTGAAACCATTTACGTGCTAGTTCGAGTAAAAAGAACCCTTAAACGTGTTTTCACCGTAAACAAATTGGCACGCCCGGTGGGACTCGTTTAATTTAGAACATAATTGGACTAGTTTTAGGTGTGTGGCTTGCATGAGATTAAGGACTGGAAGAACTATGTCTACGTCTGATAATATGAACGTAAACCATAATAATGTAGATATAGAACAGCCTAACCCCAATCCTGATAATGTCACTAATGGGACCAGGGGGCAAGATCTCCCCCTGTGTTGCTTGAAAACCATGCTAGGCATAATAATACCACTCAAGAGTTAGTAAATGTTACTAGAGAATACCCTTGGGGTATACCACCTAATTGGCGGAGTACCCAACCTGGATATGTCGAAATGTCAATGCCTTTTATAGGGCCAAATTCA